ATTCTATTCTATTCTATTCTATTCTATTCTATTCTATTCTATTCTATGCTTTGGTCCATTGAATTTGCTGTGAACTCACACAGTGGGCTTGTCTGAATTTTCATTACAATTCTCATACCACGGGAAAGCCAGTGTGGTGTGGTGGTGGAGGCAGCGTTTTGGAAACTGGGAGATGCTGAGTTCCCACCTTGGGCATGAAGTCGATTGGATGACTTTGCGCCGGTCACTCTCTCTCAACCCTAGAAAGCAGGCAATGGAAAACCACTTCTGAAAACTTGCCAAGAAAAGTGTAGGAACTACGACCAGGTATACAGGTAGTCCTCAAATTACAACCACAATTGAGCCCAACATTTCTGTGGTTAAGGGAGTCGGGCCCCATTTTAGGACCTTTCTTGCCACAGTTGTTATGCGAATCACTGCCATTGATAAGTTAGTAACACCGTTGTTAAGTGAATCTGGCTTCCCCGTCAACTCTGCTTGCCAGAAGGTCGCAAACGGGGAATCCCGTGACCTTGGGACGCGGCATCAGTCATAAGTATGAACCAGTTGCCAAGCCTCTGAATTTTGAGGGATGGGGATGGGGATGCTGCAAAGGTCATAACATGTGAAAAGCGGTCGTAAGTTACTTTTTTCAGCGCTGTTGTAACTTTGGATGGTCACTAAATGAACTATTGTTAAGTTGAGGACAACCTGCAATCCAGGCAATCTCTCTCTCTCTCTCTCTCTCTCTCTCTCTCACACACACACACACACACACCTTCTTCTCTTCCTTTCTTCCCCGTTCAACCCTCGGCTGATCTCTTCTGTAAAGCCCAAAGCACCAGGAGCTTCTCTGCGCACTGCCAAGATTGATTTGCAGAACTGCAGTGTGGCAGAGGATGCCCAGGGCTGGGCATTTTGAAGACCTGGGTGCCATCACACACGGGCTTACCTCTCGTGAACAGGCGCCCCAATGATATCTGGCTCCCTGATCAGGCTGCACATTTGCACAGGCATCCTTGGGGTGGGGGTGCCCTTAAATCTTCTCTGGGGTGTGTGCGGAGGAAGAGACAAATGTGAGGTTTAGAGTCCTAAATGATATTTATTCTCTTTTGGAACATAATCTCTCAAGCTAATGCTTTCTGAAACTTTATCTTGGGTGGCTCAGAAGGAGGGCAGAGAAATCAGAAAGCCCTGAAATGGAGCCAAAGCCCCAGCCAATACACCTCGTTCGGGTGCTGCTGCTGCATCAGCAGAGCTGAAGGTGACAATGTACCAGACGAAGTACATGATAGATACTTCAGCCTCCTCCTTCGAGGGGTTCCTGTCCTGGCCCTGGAGCCAACCCTTCCCATCATCTCTCTTGATCCGACATTCAGCTGGAGAGACCAGCAGCTGCTCTTCTGCCCAGAGCCTCGGCCCGGAGGAGCTCCAGCCACCCCACCTTCCTTCCAATCCCACCGACATCACCCCCTGTCCTTGTTGGGACCACAGAAGCCACATTTAAGCCCTTCTCCTTCAGGCTCACTAGACTTTGGGGAGGAAGACTCTCTTTTCAACATAACACAAGCTGTGCACCTATTCCTTGTATCTGAGTGACATTTCAGAGTGCAGAGAAGAGCAACAAAGACGATTAGGGGACTGAAGCCCAAACCATATGAAGAACGGTGGCTGGAACTGGGTACGTCTAGTCTAATGAAAAGAAGGATGAGGGGAGACCTGATAGCGGTGTTCCGATATCCCTGGGGCTGCCCCAAAGAAGAGGGAGTCAAGCTATTCTCCAAAGCACTTAAGGACAGGACAAGAAGCAACGGAGGGAAACTAATCAGGGAAAGAACTAAGGAGAAATTTCCTGACAGCGAAGAACAATAAACCAGCGGAATGACCTGCCTCTGGAAGTTGTAGATGCTCCAACACTGGAGGTTTTTATGAAGACACTGGACAGCCATTTGTGTGAAATAGTATAGGCTTTCCTACTCGAGCAGGGGGTCGGACTAGAAGACCTCCAAGGTCCCTTCCAACTCTGTTATTCTGTTCTTTGCATTACTCTGTTCTTCCTTCCTTCTAGGAAGCACGACTGGGACGTGTGCCTTCCCACACATCCACCCTCAGAGTCATAAGGGAGACCCCAACTCAATATCAAAGTCATCTGAGCATCTCACTGTCTCACACACAGGCACAAACACACACACACCCCTGCATGGACACAGATACGTAGAGCAGTGTGCCGCTTGATGGCTTGCACACCCAATAACCGCTGTTCCAGATTCTCAGCTCCTGCTTGTTCAGACCAGCAGAACCTCAAACAACCCAGGAAGGGAGGCAGAAATGGGGAGAGTGTTGGAGTGGCCAAGGAACATTGGTCAATACCTTGCTATCACACACATATCCGCACGCATGCTCACTAGCACCACATACATTTGTGCCTGGGCTTCCATTAACACATTCACTTTCCTCTAGAACAGGGATCCCCAAACTTGGCAACTCTAAGACTTGGGGACTTCAACTCCCCAAATTCTCCAGCCAGCATAGCTAGCTGGGAAATTCTGGGAGTTGAAGTCCACAAGTCTTAAAGTTGCCAAGTTTGGAGACCTCTGCCCTAGAACTCTTGTATAGTATTGTATTGTAAATACACACCTGGCAAGGCTTCCCCTGTTCAAGCCCTTCTAGGATCAGGCTCTGCAGGCCCAAAGAAACACCCTTTCCTGCCCATCTTTGAGAGCCACCAGTTGGACAAGAACTAGGGATGATTTCTCCTTGCAGGGGACAACCCAATTCTGAGTTCCACTGAAGGATATCGGAACAAGACGTTTCTAGGAAGGCTCTGGTGACTCATAATCATTAATCAATTATCTTTAGCTTGGACTGGACTGGATAGTCAAATTCCTTTCCTTGGTGCTCCATGGTTCAGGGGTCTCCAACCTTGGCAACTTTAGGACTTGTGGACTAAGGTCTTAAAGTTGCCAAGGTTGGAGGCCCCTGGCATAGACTGATGTTCACCAACGCAGGACAGGAAAGAAGTTTGGGAAAGCAGTCTGTCTGCACAACGGCCTAAACTAAAAAAAAAAAAACACAAATAAATGCAAAGTGCCCAAGCAAAAGGCCTAATCCACAGGGACTGGGTACCCCTAAATCTGTAGCCAAAAGGTTGGGATGCTGGTTCAGGAAGAGTGGATGGAAACTGCGTGCGCAGAGGTTCAGCCCTTGTTGTTTTGACTGCCATCTTGGCGTTTTAATCGCTCCCAGGAGCCCGACTGCGGCCTTCCCACTGCTGAGCCACAAACTGTTTCAGAAACTGGTACCTCCATTCCGAGCTTTGTCCCATTTCAGAAAGAAAAAGGCCCTTTGGTGAAGACCAGCAAATATTGTAGGGCTTCTCTACGTTGTTGAGTTTTTTTTCGGTTACGCTTCTCCATAGCTAAAATAATTTCTTGCAAAGGAGGTGCCAGGAAAATTGAAGGCGTCATCAAGCTCCCTAAAGCAGCTAAAGGTCCAAATTCCCAAGTCCCACTTTGGCTGGGACTGCCATCCTAAAGGATTATCAGATGCCAAGTTAGCAAAACTTCACGAAAGCCACAAGCCCCCTTATCAAGCTGCAACGTAAGACCTGCTGGCTCATACAAAACAATTTAAAAAAACAGTTTGGAGCATAAATCTATCAAGGAAGTTCCACTGAGCAAAAATATTGATGTCCTGTGGGGAAAAATTCTCTCTCCGTAAACTTCTGGAGTAGGAGATGTTTACGCACACACACACATTCGCATAAACTGTCTCTCCTGGAACTCACCAGAAAAGGGGGGGGGCAGGGAGGGAGGAGGGGGAGTTCCTTCAAGTACTTTAAAGCAGGGGTCCCCAACGTTGGGAACTTGAAGCCTGGAGGACTTCAACTCCCAGAATTCCCCAGCCAGCAAACCTGAAGTCCTCCAGGCTTCAAGTTCCCAAGGTTGGAGACCCCTGCTTTAAATGAAAGCGAGTCTTTTACAGATTAACAGAGTTGGAAGGGACCTTGTAGGTCATCTAGTCCAACCCCAAGCTCTTCTTTTTCCCTCTTTACACCAACTGCTTCCCCGCCCCCCCCCCCCCCCCCCGCACATAAACTACCGGCAGTGGATTGTGAGAAAAGAAACGCAAATGTTGGGGGTGGGGGGGGCTTCGCAACCGGGTGCTCAAACCCTGGCACTGCGATCTGGGTACTATTCTTTCCATCTGTGCCTGGCACCAAGGAGTCACTCACGCAACCCCCTCCGCAAAAGTCTCGCTGACGGCCCCTTCGGCTGATGGCGAGCGTCTTTGAAGAAGACTCCGGCGCCTGCGGGGTGGGCAGGGGGGTTGGACTAGATGACCCTCAAGGTCCCTTCCAACTCTGTTAGTCTAAAGAGGGGGCTTTGCCGCCGCCCCTCGCCCCCCGGGGTCTTCCTCAGCAGCCGCCTTCTTCCCACTCGACGCGCAACCCCGAGCCGAGAGGAGCGGAGCGAGCATCCGCTAACCCGCCGCCACCCGCGGTTGCAAAGGCTCCCGACGTTACGCGACCTTCCCGCCCCGGGAGGCGAGTCCCCGCCGGCAGAGGCTCCGTTGGCCGCTGCCCGAGGGCCCCGGGCCCGCCTCTGCCCGCGCCTCCCTCCCCTCCCCGCCCCCGGCCGCGGTGCCTGGGCTCTGGGCAAGGGGCCCCGCCGCGCCGGGCGACCTACCTTCCGCGAGAGGCTTCTCAGCGGAGCCTTCACGCAGTTGCCCATCCCGGCTGAGGAAGGGCAGCGGGCAGCGGGCAGCAGCCGAACCCATCGGAGCAAAGGGCGCCCCGGTCAGCCCGAGCCCTCCGGCTGCCGCGGGCGGGGCCTCTCCCTCCCTCGCTCCCTCCGTCCCTTCTCCCAACTTTCTCCGCCAAGAAGGGGAAGCGGGGAAGGCGGCGGGCGAGGGAGGGAGGGAGGGAGGGAGGGAGGGGAGCCGACGAGATGGATTATCTAATCTACCTCGGCTTAAAGCCCGACCCCCCCCCCCCCCCCCCCCCCCCCCCGCTCCGCTTGACAGGCAGGGAGCCGCTCTGACTCCGAACGGGAGCGCAGATTACAGAGGGACAGAGTCGGAAGGGACCTTGTAGGTCATCTAGTCCACCCCCACCCACCCCCAAGCGGGAGACCCTACCTCATTTCGGACAAACGGCAGTCTTCAAGGGCCAAGCGCCCCCCCGCCGCCGCATTTCCCTCCCCAGGATCGGGCTTCTCTCGGCCTCCCGGTTCGCCGCCGGGGTTCCGGCCGGAGGGGAAGCCGCGCCCCCAGCCCCGCCGTGAGCTTCCCCGGGCAGCGACGGGTCGCCGCTTAGCCTGCCGACGTTCGGGGCCTCGCGCGGGCATTTGAGGCGGAAGCGACCGGTTAAGAGCGGGCAGATTAAAGAGGGAGGCTCGTTCTGGCAAGGGGAAGGCGGCGCCGGAGCCCCGGTTGAGTCGCCCTTCGTTCTTCAGCGCCCCTCGGAAGAGTCTGAACCTTGAACACGCGAAAACGACTCGCGGTTGAAATCGAGGGGGTTGGACTAGATGACCTACAAGGTCCCTTCCAACTCTGATTGTCTGTTATCAAGGGTGCTGGAAACTGGAGGCTCCCGGCTGCCCCCAGGTCTGGCCAGCTCCAAAGCAACCCTCACCCCACCCCCCAGAAGCCCCCCAGGAGAGGCTGAGCTTTCCAGGCAGCAACTGAAGGGAGAGAAAAAGGCGTTTGTGACCCAGCTGGGGCTCCATCCAAGGGGACCCCAAACTTGGCCACTTTAAGACTTGTGGAGAATTCTGGGAGTTGAAGTCCACAAGTCTTAAAGTGGCCAAATTTGGAGACCTCTGCTCTGTGCTAGGACAATTCTCCACGGCCAACCTGCCACGGTCAACTCACCTCATGACAACTCACTAGGGGAAAAGAATTACATTAATATCAAAGAATTGATGGAAGAGGGTCATTAAAGAAAGGATGCGAAAGGAGAGACAGAATGAAATGTGGATGGCAAAAACTAAACTATTTTTTATTTATTTAAAATGATTAGAGTTGTTGACATTGTCCCGCAGTAAGTATTCCCATGGTGAGTCGGCCGTCCCCTTTTCCCCGCAGCTGAGGGTCCCTCTGCTTTCTTTCTCAGATCCAGGAAGCTCCAAGAGACATTCTTTGGAACAAGGGTCTTCCAACTTGGCAAGTGTAAGACTTGTGGACTTCAACTCCCAGAATTCCTGAGCTAACAGGCCTGGAGGAGGAGGAATTCTGGGAATTGAAGTCCACAAGTCTTAAAGCTGTCAAGTTGGAAGACCCCTGCTCTGGAATGACAGGCGGTAGCTCGGCTGAGTTTTCCTACTGGGGCGGCCTTTCTAGAGCCCCTCCCTGAGCACTTTGAGAAGGTCTGGAGGAGCGCAGAGCTTAGTATTCAATAATGGAAGAAGATAAATAAAATAGAAAGGAATACAGATACATAGAAATAGGGAAGAATACACAATGTATGCAATACCAGTATTGAACTGTATGTGAATATAAGTTTAAAATGTATAGGTTGATAAATGTAATAGTGTAATACGGTACAAATATGAAAACAACAGTTTTAATTATGATGTACAGTGCTATGTAGTTAAAAGATATTATATTGTATGACCATGAGATAACCAGGAGGTATCCCATGGTGCATTTTTACATTAAGGGACTTGATATAGCCAGTACACAAAGTTGTAAAATTGGAAATGTGATGAACAATAATGGAAAATGTACAATAAAAACATTTAAAGAGAGAAAGAGAGAGAGAGAGAATGTCTAGAGGAGAGCAAACTCAAGGAATTATACGAAATTCTACCAAATTCAGGCCAACTTGAGTCTGCAGCCAAACACTCCTGGATCAGGGGAGCTGCTCCTTCAGAGCAGGGGTCTCCAACCTTGGCAGTTTTAAGACTTGTGGACTTCAACTCCCAGAATTCCTCAGCCAGCAAAGCTGCCAAGGTTGGAGACCCCGGCTTCAGAGCACAGAACCAGGTTTATGAAGCTGAGTATCCAGCAAATGCAAAAGGGTGGGGGGGGGAGGAATGGACCATGGTGGGGCCACAGCCAGAGGGATCCGGGCGCAGCATAGCTGGCTGGGGAATTCTGGGAGTTGAAGTCCGCAAGTCTTAAAGTTGCCAAGTTGGGAGATCTCTGGTGTAGAGAGTGGCAGACACCGATTGACAGCCTTCTTTGCAAATTCTTGCAGAAGAATTTTTCCACAAAAGTTCATACTTTTCCCCGTTTTGAAAATCACTGAAGCTCAGTTCAACCCCCCTTTTGAAGATGGGGAGGGGGCAATTGCTTAGTCTTTGCCGGATGTGGCTGAGCAGGGACCAAGGCTGGTGTGGGGGGGGGTTGTTGTTGTTTTCCAAGAAGAGGCTCTGGCCTCTCCTCCTGCCTCTCTGCCCGATTGTGGTAGGGGAGCCTTGGCTCATGGCTCCCAGGGCATCCCTTTCAGGCCACAGACTGAGCCAAGATGGCTTCATGTCACCCTGAGGGCTGCTGGGAGTTGAAGTCCACGCACCTTAAAGTTGCCACGGTTGAGAACCGCTCTTCTCTTGGACAGGACCAGAACTGCAGCGGGAGAGGAGAGCACCAGCTCTTATTTGGTTGGCTATTATCATGTGAAGGGCCTGTGTCATGGCTCACTTTCTGCTGTGTTTCTTTTCGCATGTCCTGAGCGGATGCACAGAATTTTCTTTCAGGTTGCAGCTTAGCAGTGGTGGGATTCAATTTTTTTTACTACTGGTTCTGTGGGCGTGGCTTGGTGGGCGTGGCAGAGGGAAAGATACTGCAAAATGCCCCATTTCCTCCCCACCCCACTAACCCGCTTTCCAGCTCCGTTCTCCTGGGCAGGGCAACCCAAGGAGACCCAGCCGATCAGCCGGGACTCAATGGGAGGCAGATGGGGATGGCGGGGCCAGTCAGAGGCGGCATTGGCTGGTTCTCCAGACTACTCAACATTTCCGCTACTGGTTCTCCAGAACTGGCCAGAACCAGCTGAATCCCCCCTGTGCAGCTTAGCCTGTTTTGTGCCTAGCAATCTCCTTTCTCCGAAAGCAGGTTCCTTCCAGCCAACAGTCCGTTGGAAGCAAGAAACTCTCATTCAAAGTGCATTTGGGCCCCACTGAGGACGGGTCCCCTGCTCGAATCTGGCTCCCAGGAACTTCAGATATTCGGCAGAGAAAACGATCCGCCTGGCTGCTAGAGGGGCTTGTGGCTGAGGGGGCCATGAGTGCGGCCCCTGGATCCCCTCCTCCTCCTCCTCCTCCTCTTCCTCCTCCTCCATCCGCCACGGGAGGCCGGATGGAGCTTCCTTCCCTGAAGTGGCTCCTTATCTTATCCAGGCAGTGACAAGAAGCCTCTGGCCCTGCTGGGAGGGAAAGGGGAGGTGCCGGGGTCTCTTGGCTGGGTCAACCTGCAGCCGGGCTGAGCAGGGCTTCTTCAGGAGCCCCGAGGAAGCAGAGGCTCCGACCCAGAGCTGCGTGTTCAATAGTCTTTGGGGGGGATGTGCAGGCAGGCATGGTGGCCTGGCACCCAGAATGATGGGGAGGGGTCTTTTCTGGCGCTGCAAGATGAGTAGAGGAGGAGCTCAAGGGCTGCCCCGGCCCCCAAGAGGCAGTGGCTCTTCTACCATCCTCTGTCTTTGCCAACCAACAGTTTGACACCCCCTCACCCCCCCATTCCTTGGAGTTTTGCTCCAACGGACGGACTTCTGTGAGCACTGAAAAGCGGTTCTAAAGTGGAGCCGCCGAAGAGCGAAGTTTCATTTGAGGCAAGAGCTATGGGACACCGTCCCTGTCCACCCTCCCTCCCTCCCGCTGGGGTTTGAATGCTCGCCTTTCCCGCAGCGCTGACCTGCCACTAGGTGGGGCTGTGTCCTCAGTGCTCAGCGGGTCTTCTGATTTTTGCCAGGTTTGCTGGTGGGGGGGGGAATGCCCACGGCTGGCACCAAGAGGCAGGCGGAGGCTGCTGCCGCCCCCTGGCAAGAAGCTTTCTGGTGGGATCTCACTGCTACGTTCCGACAACCACTTCATGCAGCCGGATGAAGCAGCCCTTGCCTCCCAAAATGTTGACAAAAGAACCCCCATTCTCGAAGGTGTCCTGTGGCCCCTGGTGGGTGTTCACTGCAGTGGGCCAGGACGGGGGGTCCCCAAACTTGGCAACTGGTGGACTTCAGTTCCCAGAACTCTGAGAATTGAATTCTATGTTAGCTGAGGAATTCTGGGAACTGAAGTCCACTTAAAAGTTGCCAAGTTTAAAGACTAACACAAAGTCATTTTAGAGGAGTCTCTACCATAGGGGAAACAGATTAATTTTATATGTAGGTTTTTTGTTTTTTGTTTAACATATATTCAGCCACATATATCTGGACAAGCTGCAAACAAGAATGTTTAAGGATCCGCTTCAGTCAAAACAGAAACACAGTCATGGTCTAAGTACTGTAGTTGATGTCTAAATGCTAGCTATACCTTTCACTGAAATAAATAAGATTATTAGTTTCATACTATAGTCAGGTGCAGGCGATATTCTTCTTCCATCCTTAACAAACTATTTTTGTTTGTGGGTTTGTACTGTGTTTGGTAGTGTTTGAAGAAGCCCCAGGAGTACATAAAACAAGTATATTCTTTCCCAATAAGAACAGCTTAGCTAATTTAACTTAACAGTGTAAATATAAAATATAAAGTTACCATTTTGCTTCTTTTTAATTTTTTATATTATGGTTCTTATTATGTTCTAAGCTGCCCAGAGACACATATATAAATTTAATAAGTAAACACAAACCAAATGTTGAGAATGAAAGTCTGCAAATGACTTCTAGTTCTTTTCTG